GCGTAATCTCCTGGTGTAGCAGATACAAAGATACACTGCGGAATCATTGATTCAAACTCAAAGAATTGTAAGGGTCTGTTATCCTTTGCTGATGGCAGACGGAAACCATACTGCACAAGGTTTTCTTTACGGGCCTTATCTCCCTCGTACATACCCCCTACCTGTGGTATTGTTACATGGGATTCATCAATAAACATAAGGTAGTTGCGTGGAAAATAATCAAGTAGCACTGCTGGGCGTTCGCCTTTTGCTCGCCCTGAAATATGGCGAGAATAGTTTTCTATACCAGTACAGTACCCTAGCTCTAGTAACATCTCAAGATCATACTCTGTACGAGATTTAACTCTCTCTGCTGCAACTATATCATTTGCCTTTATAAGCTCATTGTATCTCTGAGCGAGTTCATCTTTAATCTTTTGTGATGCTGTCTTTATTTGCTCTGGAGTAGTAACAAAATGCTTTGCGGGAAAGATGTGTAGTTTTTCCTGCTCCTTTAGTACTTCCATGCTTACTGGATGGAGTTTACGTATTGTTACTACCTCATCCCAGTTACTTACAATACGATATATTGCCTCTTCATATGCGGGGTAAATATCTATTACCTCATCTTGCACACGAAATGAACCCCGCTCAATTGCTACATCGTTTCTACTATACTGTAACGAAATAAGTTTTTTGCGCAGAGCTACACTATCTATTGTAGCGCCTACTTCTATGGTGATAGCCATATCTCTGTAATCGGTTGGGTTTCCTAAACCATAAATACAGGATACTGTAGCAACGATAATAACATCATTGCGAGAATAAAGACTGGTGGTGGCTGCTAGTCGCAGTCTATCTATTTCATCGTTAATGGACGCGTCTTTTTCTATGTACAGATCTCTGCCGGGGACATATGCCTCTGGCTGGTAGTAATCATAGTACGAAACAAAATACTCTACTGCGTTGTCTGGGAAAAATTCTTTGAATTCTCTGTATAATTGTGCGGCTAGAGTTTTGTTATGTGAAATAACAAGAGTAGGTTTCTGTACTTCCTCGATTACCTTGGCCATAGTAAAGGTTTTTCCCGAACCGGTAACCCCTTTGAGCATTTGGAATTTCTTTTCCTTCACGTATGCCGTGTGCAAGTGAAGCTATGGCAGAGGGTTGATCGCCCGCCGCTTGTAGTGTTGTTTTTAGCTGGAGAGCTGTACGCATGGATACTTGCACATTGCTAGTGCTTTGTTTTTCTTCCTGCACGTATACTCCTGGTCTGCACTTAATCAGAAAGAAAACCGCGAGTTTGCTCTATAAGGACTCTTTCAGGTCGTTCTACAAGGGTAATGCTGCTCGTTCTTTTCTGTCTTCCTCTGTAATATTCTACTGCTATAGTTTGTCCAGGAGCTGTTTGTTCTAAGGACTCCAGCAAATCAGACATAGAACTTACCTCTACATCGCCTATCTTTGTAATAATATCCCCCCCTAGATAAATGGTACTTCTTCCATACTGCACACGCTTGCGAGGGTCCCCCCCTTTTAGCCCAGCCTCTGCTGCATTGCTGTTTTTCTCAAGAGTGCTGATAAGCAGCCCCTTTGTTACCTCCAACTGAGCGTAGAGCACTAGTTCGCGAAACAGAGGCTGTACCTGCCATTCAATCCACCCTCTTCGCACCTGGCCATAGCGTATAAGATCTGGCACTACACGTTTCGCTGTTTCAGAAGGAACTGCAAAGCCAATGCCAACAGAGCCCTGTCTGCTAGTGAGTATGCTAGTATTTACCCCTATAAGCTCTCCTTGTCTATTGAGTAGAGGACCGCCACTGTTTCCGGGGTTTATAGACGCATCTGTCTGAATCATGTTTTGTATGATAATATTGTTCTCTCCACGTATAGGTCTTCCCAACCCAGAAATAATGCCTGCAGTTAATGTTCTATCAAGCCCAAAAGGATTGCCTATTGCCAATACCTTATGCCCTACCTCTAATTTCGAAGAATCTCCAAGAGGGATAACACCTGTGTTAGAGGGAAGCATTTCTACTTTCAGAACAGAGAGATCGTTTTCAATATCAATGCCAATAACATCACCCTCTACTTTCGAACCATCCCAAAAAGTAACAAACACTTTATTTACATTTTCTATAACATGATAATTCGTAATTATGTACCCACGGGGATCAATAACTGAGCCCGAGCCACCACCACCCTCTCTTGGAACTGGCTCAAAAAACCATGTGTAGGCTAGAACCTCTGTGGTAATGTTTACCACCGCTCTGTTTCTGTTCTTGTATACATCTATATTTTCTTCTTCTTCAGGGCTTAGCCCTGTGTCTAACGCTACATAAAGAGGATCTCCATGCTCTATAGGAATAAGTAATTGCGTATCCTCCTCTTTGTTTTCCAAACGAAAAAAGGATAGTACTGCACTGAAATCAATATTCTGAACGAATACAAGAATAATTACTGCTAATACAATATAAGGGACTGTATTATTGCTGCGCATTATATAAGAAATTATATACTATAAATAGTTTTATTACTGGTGTGTTACTGGTGCATCACATTAGCATGCACATAAGAGGTGTTGATGTGTTACGCTGAAATCTACTACTCCATCTTTTTACACTAAGTGCCTTTCGTTGCATATAACCTTACAATAGGTAGTTATAGGTTGCGAGAGTAAATACTTGTGTTTATGTTATGCACGTGTTCTGTTGTGCTTTGCACATAAATTACATGCTATGATGGCATGCTATGATGTATTTTTTGTTATAATCCATGTTTACTTTGTATATAATCCATGTTTACTAAGAATGATATCTCTAAAAATTATGCCAAATAAAGGAAGGAAATCTTCAATATCCACACCTTCTCCAAATGCTACTTTCTTTAATCTATCAAGTTCTTCTTTATTTATAATACCCAAGGCTTTGTCTTTTATAACTTTATTTGCTTTTTCTTGAATATCATACAACGAAGGAAGATTGCTTGTATCTTCTATCACATCTTCAATAAGAACATCATACACCCTATTGATAAATGCCTCTGCTTCAATTGCTTCTGCTATTTTCTTTCCTTTATCTGAAAGGGAGATAGGACTTTTTGTATTTACAAGACCAGTCACCAATACTCTTATACCATCTAGTTTATCATATACTTTCTCAACAAAATCGTGGTGTTTGTTACTTACTTCTTTTATAGAGTTTTTATTTTCTTCTATTGTTTTCTCATGGTGTGATACCTTGTTGTGATGTATTCCAATTGATACTCCTACACCTATCAAGGTTAACAGTGCAGTTGCAATACTAATTACTGTTTGTGCTTCCATAATAGTTCTAGTAGCATCTTATATACACATAATCGCAATATACAGATATATTGTGATAACAATAGTCGCTTAACTATAAGGTATATACGCTATATAGCAATAATAAATTTATACTAATAAAATATATACGCATCATAGCATCATAGCTAGCATATCATTGCTGTGCATAGTATAACACAGTCGGTGTCATTTTGCACAACAACATACCTTGACTACATACCCGCGATTCAAATCTCACAAAAATATCATGAAGTTTTCCAGCTTATGCAGTAAGTATTGCATTATTTCTTGTACGCCTTTTTGTACGCATCTATGCTAAGCATGGGTGGGCGCTCTTCTTCCACAATAGCTATTTCTTTCAATTTATACTGTTCTTGGTTAGATTCAAACTGCTTGAGGGTGTTCTGGAACGTGGACTGTAGAGTAAAAAGTCCGTACGAACTCGCACGGATAATAAAGGATTGTAATATTCCAAACGCCATCTTACCTAAAGATAAGGTCTCTTGATTTCTATGTGCTCGTATATCCAGATCTGTCTGAGCAAAGGCATCTATACCAAAAAGCTTGTATACGTCAAGTAGGTGGGCTGTTTCTACTCCATACCCTATAGGGAAGGGGATTTGCTCGAGGGTACTTCTACGTACAGCATATTCCCCACTTAATGGCTGAATAATTCCAGATAACTCGGGAAAGAAGAGTGAGAAGAGTGGTCGTGCGAGTATTTCGGTGACCCTTCCCCCTCCTACGCTCCTTACCCCCCCGTCGGTTTCTAGAGGGCGTCGATAAAAAGCCTTGACATATCGTATAGTATCGTGTAAAAGCAAAGGACCAACAAGACCGTAGACAAAGCGGGGATGGATGTTCTTTATATCAGCATCAATGTACACAATAATATCACCACGTAGCTGGTAGATTGCCTTCCAAAGATTCTCTCCCTTACCTTTTTTCTTACCACATTCTACGAGTATATCATCAGCAAGATAGGTATCTGCCCCAAAGGAGCGTGCTACTTCTATTGTATTATCGGTAGAACCAGAATCTATTACGGCAATCTCATCAAGTAAGGGATGCTTTCTCTTTAATTCTGAGTTGAATACCACAATCTCCTTCCCTATGGTTTTTTCCTCGTTTAACGTAGGTATGCACAGTGAAATACTAAGTCCTTTTTTTTCCTTTAAGGATACTAGATGACGTATATCGGAAAACGCAGAATGATGGTAGGTATGCTTTGTAAGCAATGTCTCAAGGTTTTCCATCTATAATTCCTTTGTCGATATCGAGTATAAGCCCTATAAGCTGTGCTATGCCTGTAAACATTGGTTCTATATATACCACTTCATTTTCATAATTATATTCATCACAGCGCGTAAGCCCTACTGTTACCGCAGGGATATCCTTATCGATAAATGCACAGAGGTCGGATGTACTGGGGACCACTGAAGAAGCAACATGTAATTGTTTCTGTATAGAATATAGGGAGCGTATAAGTGGATGAGAAAATCGCAGTCCACCAACCTTCCGTTTTGCAATAATTTTTAGTTCTGCTATCGCTCCGCTACTGAGTGCCAATTCTGACAAAATACCATCGATTTCATATTTTATTTTTTCTATACTATGATTTGATTCACTTCGAATTTGAAACTGAAGCTCTGCAGAGTTAGGAAGCATATCAAAACTTGGCTCGCTGTGAAACTTAGTAAACAAAATAGAGGTGCGGGGTTTGTTAGGGAGAGATATTTCAAGTATTCTGTTGATAATATTCACCATATTTAATATAGAACTCGAAGAACCTAACCTGGTCCAGTCGTACTTCCTCGTCATAGCATAGTGTATTTCGCCACGTAGTAAACCAAGCGATTGATAACTCAATCTCCCCAATGGAAACCCTTCTACACAGATCCCATAATCTATTTCTTTATTATACTGATCGATAAAATATCGTGTTCCTCTTAGATTTCCTAAATCGAGCGAGTCGGAAGCAAAGCAGAATATAAGCTTGCTCTGCAATTGTATATGAAGACCTTGCAATATAATTGGCAAAGTAAGCAACGTGGCCACTCCTAAGCTGTTGTCTGCTAAACCCAAACCTAGCACCTTATCTGCAAGAACATTAGAGGTGTGATCCTTATGTCTGCTGTGATGGGTGTCAAGATGAGAAAGCAACGCTATGTTCTGATGGTTCTGCTCTGAGGAGTATTCCGCAATAACATTTCCTTTGGTATCGAGATTTAACTTTACGCCTTCTATTTCACTAAGTCTCTCCATTACAATCTCTGCTCTTTTTTCTGTATACCCAAGCTCTGCGGGTGTTTCTGCTACTGCCACTAAGTTACTGAGGAGTATATCCTTGTATGATGTAAGATCTTGAATAAGCTGGGTATATTCGAGGGGCTTAGCTGTTGCTTTTGGGTCTTTCCCCATATATTGAGTATAGCAGGTAAGCGTATATATTTCTATACACTTATTGCAATACTGTCAGCGTACTAAGATAGTGCTTAAGAAGATTAAGAAGAAGTTCTTGTTGATAATCTAAAATAAAAGAATGGAGCATATACTCTTCATTACTGCGCGTAACTAGTATTGTTCTCTCATCTCTCCTTCCCAAGATGGAAGCAAAAAAGGAGGATTTTTGAGGGGGTCTCCACTGAATAATCGTTGGAAATAACAGCTCTACCCATAGCTCTTCTTCTTGCTTCTGCTTAAATATACTTGAAAGCCAGTGCTGCTGTGGAAATCGATATAAGAACAGTCCTCTTTCTGTTATATATGTGAGCCCCCATGTTCTTTCCTTTCGTTTATTTATTGGTGGTATACGGCATAACTCCGACTCATGCATATAGTACTGCCCCATTCCATACCCTAGCACTGTACCGTGCTTTTCTTCTGCTATCTGCCAGAATTCTTCTTTTCTGTCTGGGTGCATAATTTCCATACTTACTCCCTATACTACCTGCATTAATTGTATATTATTCACCGCTCTTCTTGTTACGCTTTAGCAAGGCGAGCGCCTGTTCCACCGCGTACCCTGGTTCTTCTTTTCTTTCCATTGACTTACTAAGACTACTTCTCCAACTCTTTGCTCCTGAAAGACCGGAGAAAAAACAGAGTAGATGGCGAATAGCTCTGCGAGCTGCATCGCTTGCACGCAGATCGCTATGTGCTACATGCTGGGTGAGATATTGAATGTAGTTTCGTATTATTTCTTCCTGAAGCACTACTGCGCTATGATGAGGAAGAGCGTCTTTGTCTATGGAACCGGTCTCTAATAGAGTATCGGCATCCAAAAACTGCAGCGGTGCCTCAAGTGCTGCCCGTCCTACCATGACAGCATCTACGTGCTGTAGTTGCTCTGCAGAATCAGCAAGGTTCTTTATACCTCCATTTATCTCTATAGAAACATGTGGGAACTGTCTTGCTACAGCATGCACTACATCATAGCGAAGTGGGGGTATATCCCTATTTTGCTTGGGATTAAGTAACCCCAATACAGCAATACGAGCATGAATAATAACACGGCGAGCCCCTGCATCCGAAACTGCCGCTATAAACTTACATAGGTATTCGTAACTATCATAGAGAGGAAGACTAAAGCGTCTTCCGTCTAGACCTATTCTGCACTTTACTGTTACTGGTACCGTGAGCGCTTGAGTCATACCTTCTATTAAGGAGCTCATATGATCTATATCCGCCATAAGGCAGACGCCGAATTTTCCTCTATGAACTCTATCACTTGGGCAACCAGCATTTATGTTTATCTCGTTATAGCCCATGTCCTCTGCAATTTTTGCTGCATATACAAATTCTTTTAGGTTATAACCACCTAGCTGCAGTACAAGAGGTTTTTCTTTTTCATCGAATTCAAGATAGCGCCCAGCGCCCTGATGCCAAATTGCGGATGTACTTAGCATCTCGGTATAGAGTGTGGTTTTCTTTGTAATCTGTCTCATAAGCATGCGGTAATGCCTATCAGTGTATTGAATCATAGGCGCTATACTTATGCGTTTCTTTCTTGTATACATAGTATGTAACGTGTCCTCTATTGTGGTACGAATATTCGGGCTGCACCCATGCATTCGTATACTGGACTTTCCGGTGATTCTTCGTGCGGTGCTACAGAAGAAAAGTACTGCGTTGCTTTGCACAGCTCTTTGTTTTCGAATGGGGTATAAAACACAAGGTACTGCCCCTCTGCTATACCACAATCGGATTCTGTAAGTGATGCCACCCCCCTTTCTTCATGAAGAGTGTATTGAGCAGCTACAAGTGCAGGCCCGTGCCGTATTTTAACAAAGCACGCTCCTTTCAAAGACGGTGGGATTTTGCGTATCCAATGTGGGTTGCTAAAAAATACTTCATGAGACGCTATTTCCTGAATACGTTCTGCGTGCTGCACCCAAATTATATTTTCTTCTAGCGACTTTCGTGCAACATACCACGGTCCAGACCCGAGCCCTAGCCCATTGCGTTGCCCAATAGTATAAAACCAGGTGCCCTCATGTGTGCCTAGCACCTTACCTGTACGCTCGTCTATAATGCTCCCTTCTTGCACCCCGAGATGCTCGCGTATAAAATCCCTAAATTTAATTTTACCTAGAAAGCAAAGCCCTTGGCTGTCTTTTCTATGCATGGTAGAAAGAGCGTGTGCCTGAGCATACTCTCTTACTTGAAATTTTTGCATAGCGCCTAGAGGAAACGTAAGCAATGTTATTTGCTCCTCACTTAGCATGGAAAGAAAATAACTTTGATCTTTTACTCTGTCTGCTGCTGTAAGAAGATGCACCCTAGTTGTATCATCTTTGTATATACGAGCATAGTGACCAGTAATAACTGTATCTGCCCCATCTATGTATTCGAGGAATGCACCAAGTTTTATTTTGGTGTTACAAAATATATCTGGGCTGGGAGTTGCTCCTTTTTTCAACTCATCTACAGTGTACGATATAATTTTTTCTTGGTATTCTTTCTGCAAAGGAATAACAGTGTAGGGAATATCGAACTGTGCTGCTATTTTTCTTACATAGTACAGGTCTTCTTCCCAGGGGCAATCCCCAAGAAAAGACAGTTCATCTTCTAGCCAAATTTTAAGATAGTACAAATGTACCTTATTTTTCTGCTGAGGATAACGTGTAATAAACTTATGCACCGCAACCGAACTATCAACACCCCCAGATACAAGAGCCGCTATACGTGACATATTAGAACATAGCTTCAAACAAAGTAGATACGACTATCGCAGAAATTGTAGCGAGTACTGCAACAAAGAAAATAAGCCATTTCTCTTTAGGTTCTAAACGTTTTTTACTCATATTTCAGTCCTTATACAGTATAGTAGATATACTATACTGTATATATGGTTGTTCCTGGTAGCTCAACTGGATAGAGCAATCGCCTCCTAAGCGATAGGTTGCGGGTTCAAATCCCGTCCGGAACATAGCAGTATACGCACAAAGGATATCATATGAAAATTAAAAAAACAAAACTTGCTCTCATTATTGTCTTTATAGTTGCTATAGCATACCTTATAGTTAATTTTAGAGACTTTTTTACCCTGCAATACATACAATCTCAACTAAGTTTGTTGCAAAACTTCATACAAGAAAATTTTCTTACTTCGTTTCTTGTATATTTTTCTCTGTATGTGGTAAGCACAGCTATATCTCTCCCTGGTGCGACTGTGCTAACCCTGCTGGGAGGCGCGCTATTTGGCACTATTGTTGGAACTCTTATTGTATCCTTCGCTAGTACATTGGGGGCAACCCTTGCCTTCTTGCTCGCAAGATTTTTCCTACGTTCTTTTCTAGAATCAAAATTTTCTTCTCAGTTTGCAAAAATAAATGAGGGTGTTGAAAAAGAAGGAGGTAGCTATCTTTTTGCCTTACGACTTGTCCCGGTCTTCCCTTTCTTTGTGGTAAATCTTCTTATGGGGATAACACGTATAAGCACGTGGAAATTTATGTTTATAAGCCAGTTAGGAATGCTGCCAGGTACTATTGTGTATGTGTATGCAGGGAGGGCATTATCAACGATACAGGGTTTAGGCGATATTATTGGATTTGAAATGTGGATAGCATTTGCTCTTATAGCCACCCTCCCCTTTATCTCTCAATTCATACAGAAAAGAATACGAATAAAAAAAATATACCGAAACTTTACAAAACCTAGGCACTTCGATACAAATATTACAGTAATAGGTGCTGGATCTGGTGGTCTTATAGCTGCATATATCTCGGCAACACTGCGAGCAAAACCCATACTCATAGAGAGAGATAAAATGGGTGGGGATTGCCTTAACCGTGGTTGTGTACCCTCGAAAGCAATACTATCACTCAGTAAGCTTGCCAAAGTATACAAAGAAGCAAGTGCTCTTGGAATAAAATACGCGCCACCGCAAATACAGTTTTCTAAAGTTATGAATAAGGTAAAAGAAGCTATTAAAAATGTTGCACCCCACGATAGCGTTGAGCGTTATACGCAGTTGGGAGTAGAATGCATAGAAGGAGATGCTTCGCTCCTCTCTCCCTGGGAAGTAAAGGTGGGTGATCGTGTTATCAAAACTCGCAATATAGTCCTTGCAACTGGGGGTAGCCCTGTGTATCTAGACATACCTGGCATAGACACTGTGCAGCAGTACAGCTCGGATACTATTTGGGACCTCAAAGCTCTTCCTCCCGAACTCCTTGTTGTGGGTGGTGGCCCTATAGGGTCAGAGCTGGCGCTTGCATTTTCCCGCCTAGGAAGCAAGGTAAGTATTGTACAACGTTCTTCACAGCTCCTTCCAAAAGAAGATTATGATGTAGGGAAACTTGCTCTGAGCACACTAACAAAAGAGGGTATTCAGGTTCTCTGCGGTGCGAGACCTGTAAAGGTGGCAAAGAAAGGGAAAACGCACACAGCCACTATTCTGCTAAGTAATGGTACTAAAAAACAGTTAAGCTTTACCCATATGCTTGTTGCAGCTGGACGTAAGGCTGCCACCGATTCTCTTCGTTCTCAATCGCTGGAGTTTGAATACAACGACAATGAAACACTCAAAACAAACAAGTACTTACAAACACGGTACCCTAATATATACGCTGTTGGAGATCTTACTGGTCCATATCAATTTACCCACATGGCTGGTCATATGGGATGGTACGCCGTTGTGAATGCCCTGTTTTCTTCACTACTCAAATTTCCTATCGACTACTCTAACGTACCGTTTATAACATATTTAAGTCCAGAATTTGCACGTGTAGGATTAAACGAAAAAGAAGCAAAAGTAGCGGGGATTCCGTATGAGGTGTACACATATGATATGAAAGAATCGGATAGAGCCATTGCAGAACGTAGAACTGAAGGGTATATAAAAGTGCTTACAGTCCCCAAAAAGGACACAATACTCGGAGCAAGCATTATATCTGAACGTGCAGGAGAAATGCTCGGGGAGTTGCTTATTGCAAAGAAATACAAAATTGGTCTCAATAAGATACTTGGGGTTATACATCCCTATCCAAGTTATGGCGAGGCAATAAAATCAGTAGCGGGGGTATGGAAAAAAAGCAATGCGCCTACTAAAGCGTTGGATTATCTCGAAAAACATTTCAAAAAGCGCTTAGGGAAGAAAACACAGCAGTAGCACCATTGTGCACGCTTACTAGTTGTACGTGCACTACCAGTGCTTGGGCGTAAAGTTTGCTTCATTCACGCAGTAGATTGTTTCGTATGGTCGGGAAAATAAGAGCAGTCCTGATGCGTTTGCAAGATCTTGGGCGCATGAGCTAATCGTGTATGCAGCAAGACCAAAAAGAATGTTCTCTACTTGACTATCCTTATTAAAATAGTCCGAGTATAGATGTTTGCAGATTTCTGCTAGTTGTGGGAGTTTAAGCCTGCACTCTGTTTGCATAAAGTAAAGCCCGTTATCCAGCATGTCGCGTACAGTGCCTATGGTAATGTTATGCTGTACCATAATAATGGCTATGAGGTTTTCTCCCCCCAAAACAATTGAGTGATCGCCACAACCTAGCAAAAAGGAGCAGTTGAATATTTCTTCAAAATCATAGCTTCCTACTGTTTGCTGTTCGCGAAAATAATCTGTAAAGTACTCTTCTACGTTTAGTGTTCTATTTTTTTCGAAATCATCAAAGTAGCGATCAATGAGATCCAATTATTATTACCTCTTAAATATTTTTCAAGCAGTTTATACTTGCGGTATGTGCTTGTATATACACTGTAATACTAACTAAACACTGCTATAATTCAACGCTTGAAATACAGGGTGCTATGTACTACTATGAGTACATATTAACAAAATAGCAAAGTACACACTGCCTCTACACAGGAGAGTACAGCTCACACACCGCATGCTAAGCCCTTTACACAACAGGAGCAATAAGAAAAACAGAGAAATATCCACCACACATATACAATTGAACTTGTACAAAAAACATAGTATACTATTGATAAGTAAACAAGCAATTTCTATAAAGTGGATACGAAAATATATGAAAGATTCAATTACATTAGCTATGTTGTTTTTATCGACGACTGCCTGTGCACAATCAGTAGATAACGAACTCTTAGCAACCATTGATACGAAAAGAGGGAGTATAGTTCTTCAACTATACTTTGATAAGGCCCCGCTGACCGTAAGTAATTTTGTAGGACTAGCAGAGGGTATTTTTGCAAAGGAAAATAACGCATTACAGAAAAAGGGGAAGTATTTTGACTCGCTTACATTTCACAGAGTAGTGGATAACTTTGTTGTGCAAGGAGGTGATCCAAGAGGGAATGGAAGCGGAGGTCCAGGGTATAGTTTTTCAGACGAATTTCACCCAGATCTTAGACATTCAAAAAAAGGCATACTTTCAATGGCAAACTCAGGCCCCAATACCAATGGTAGCCAGTTTTTTATTACCCTTAGTGCTACCCCTCACCTGGATAATAAGCACAGTGTCTTCGGGGCTGTAAAAAGCGGCATAGAAGTACTGGATGCCATACAGCAAGGCGATGCAATAGAGAAGCTACGAATAAGTGCACAAGGGAAAGAAGCAACGCAATTCCTCGATGCTATATCTTGGGACAGTTTTCTTACTCAAAACGCCGCTATTGAAAACGAGCGCCAAGCAAAGCAGAAGGAGAGAACATTGGAAATTATTTCGGCAATAGAAAATGAAACACCAGTATTAGAAAAAACGCGAGAGGGGATATATATACGAGAACTAAACCCCGCTGTAGGTCAGAAAGTGCGTGAGGGAGATACTATTGCTACCCATTACGAACTACGCCTCTACGGAGAAGATGCTATTATTGATAGCTCGTACGCAAGAGGCGCCCCCCTGCAATTTCAAGCTGGAGCTGGAAGAGTAATACGGGGATGGGATATTATTGTGCAAACCATGTCAGTTGGTCAAAAACTGCGTGTCATCATCCCTCCAGAACTAGGCTACGGAAGTCAAGGCGCAGGAGCTGTCATTCCTGGTAATAGCTATCTGGATTTTATTGTAGAAATTATAAGCATAGAATAGAGAGTGTCTACACAGTATTTTTGCAGTAACTGTTCTTTTGAAAGCGCACGCTGGTATGGGAAGTGCCCACATTGCGAAGCGTGGAACAGCATGGACGAAAGAGCGGTACACAGTCGCAAAACAAAAACTCATAGCACTGATGCAAAGATACGACCTGTCTCACTGCTTTCTCACATTGAAAGCAAAGACTCCACACGTATCCACACAGGTTCTACTGAACTCGACAGGGTGCTGGGTGGTGGGTTGGTACGACAGTCTCTGGTGCTTATCAGTGGAGAGCCGGGAATAGGAAAATCCACGCTCCTGCTTTCCCTTGCAGCAAAGCTAGGCGAGACCAGTGGGGGTGTTAAAGAAACTGTGCTGTATATTTCTGCCGAAGAATCTGTAGAGCAGATTAAGCTTCGCTCTATACGACTGCGTATGAATAACTCAGCTATACACACCAGTGAAGAGTACAGAGTGGAAAACATAGAGGAGCACCTTACGGCACTTTGTCCTACTGTGCTTATTATTGATTCAATACAATCGCTACGTAACGAGGCTTTAGGCATGCATACAGGAACCGTTACTCAACTACGAGCTATTATTAGCGCCTGCTATGAATGGTGCCAGCGCTTTCATTGCACAATAGTAATTGTTGCTCATGTTACAAAAGACGGTTCTATTGCAGGTCCTAAAACAGTAGAGCATATGGTAGATACAGTACTTGTGTTCGAGCAGAGCAAAAATAACCTCCGCTTTCTCTATTCTAAGAAAAATAGATTTGGTGCTGTAAATGAGGTGGGGATATTCCATATGACAGAACACGGCCTGGAAGACCTGGATAACGCAAACAAGTACTTTCTTGAAGAAAGAAAGGACGCATGGCCAAGCGGTATCTGCATTACTAACACATACGAGGGCTCACGCTCCTTTCTTGTGGAGATTCAAGCGCTTACAGTAGCGGTATTTTCTAATAATAGGGTGTTTAGCGAAATAATAAACCCCCAGCAAGTGTTTAAGCTTGCAGCAGTGCTAGAGCGACATTGTCGCATCCCATTATCTACCCAAAATATATATCTCAACACTGCGGGAGGCATTAAAATACAAGAATCAGGGATAGAGCTTGCTGTAGCACTGGCTCTCTATTCTGCGTATGCTGGCGCAGCGCTCCCTCTTAATACCTGTGCTATAGGAGAGGTAAGCTTAGCAGGAGAAATACGTTCCGTACAGAATTTTGAACAGCGCTGTAGACGGGCAGAGGATTTTGGTATACAAACAATGCTCGTACCTGCGAAAGACAGTGCACAGTACCCCTTCTCCTCCGCCCGTTGCACACTGATCCCTGTATCAACAATTGATGAAGCTATAGCTGCAGTCACAAATAAAGATATGCATACTACAAAAAAGTGAGCACACTACACAGAGTATACACGACCCTATGCGCAGTATTACTACTCTGCGCCCCAATACATGCCCTCACTCTATACTCTCAAACAGAAGCTATTGATACGCCTGCACCACACTCTATTGATACGCCCACCCCGCACTCTACAGCTGAACTGAAAGATGGATTGTACGCACATTGTAGCTTTGGTGCTACCACGCTAAGCGTCGAACTCTTCTACCGCAAGATGCAGCTTTCCGTACACTTCTTTGCAGGACTTGCAGCAGGATTACTTAACCCACAGCAGGACAGTGAGAGCACAGAAACTACTGGGCTCTACGATGGGGTAGAGCTTATACAATACATAGCTGACTACATACTTATCGCCACTATACGCAAAGATAGCCCACCCCCGCTTAGGAATTTTAGCTTTAAGAAAGAAGAATACTTTTCGCGTGCTACATATGATGATGTGGGCTACCTTGCCTTACTAGGACGTTCCTCGATAGAGGATGATGCACGCATTGTGTTTCTCTTTGACAAGCTACATTCTTTTCCTTTTCATGTAACGGTTATTGGAAAGATACTAACAGTAGAAGATAGACTTCCCACTCTTCCAAAAACAATAGACACAATAACAAGATGCTCTATAGAAGCACGTGGTGCGCAAGCACAGACTTTTTTCGATTCTCTATCATGGAAAAATCTACTTGATAAAAAGGAAAGCAATGAGGCATATTTTGTATCTCGACGTAGCTCCCTATTAGACATAAGCATGGCAGAATTAGATGTAAGTTCACTGCGTAAAAGCAGCGAAGGTTTGTTTTTTGAATTTATCGAAGGTTCACTTATAGATAATATTACTAGCTTTTCTAGCCCAGCCCTGTCTACAATTAGACTTGTCGATGTTCTGCAGAAGGACCCACTAACGATACGTGCAATAGAAAACACATTCTTATCACCTCTATCGAAGGTGTTGTTCGATTACAAAATACAGATATATAACACCGATCGCATTATCGAGAACACCTTTGAACGCGAAGAACACGTATCTTACATAGTAGGACAAACAAAGATGCTAAGGGGTATGGAGTTATTGCTACAACTTATGACGCCAGGGCAAAAAGCAAGGGCGGTGCTTCCTCCCCACCTTGCGTATGGCATAGAAGGATTAGGAACATTAATTTCTAGCACAGATTTTCTTGACATAGAACTACATTTTTTGGAGCAGGATAGTAGCTACGAGTGATAAAACAAGTAAAATGTGCTATTATAACTATTGAAAGCATTAAGTAGAGGTAGTATGGGTGAAATAAAATCCGCATTTGAAAAAGCAATGGAACGCATACAAGACATTGCGCCTGATAAAAAATCGTTGTTTCGAAAAGAAATTATAGACAAGGGCAAAACATGCTGTGCTCGGTTTATCAACGGCGAAGAGGTTTCGCCAAAAGAAGAAATGGAACGTTATATCGATGAAGAACGTGACTGGTTTAAGTATGGTATGGGAGAAACAATTCTAAGCAGGGTAATGCTTCCTACAGCACAGAGGTCTGCTGATTTCGTTGATACAATTACAGAGGCAGCCTTGCTATTAGCACCAAACCCAGCAATGGTAGAGCAGCTCCTTAAGCAGTTTAAGCAGGTATGTCAGCAGTATATGAATGAGCGATTAAAATTAGTGGAGCAGTTCGAGTCCTACGTACAGCAAGCATTACAGCAAAATGCCGCACAGTTCAAAAACGAACAGCAGAAAATAGCATTTCAGAGAAAGCTTATGCAGGATGTACAGGAACAGCAAAAGCAACTAGAAGACCAATTTGCACCTACCATAGAAAAAGTGAAATCCCACCTACGTCAGTTACTTGGTACATGGATAGAGAAATAATACAATGCCACTCAACTGTGGGATAGTGGGGCTTCCAAATGTTGGTAAGTCTTCTCTCTTCTCTGCTCTTACATCCATACAAGCAAATATACAGAATTATCCCTTCTGCACCATAGAACCTAATGTTGGTTTAGTAGAAGTACCAGATTACAGAATACAAAAACTAAGCGAAATATATATCAGCAAGAATAGCATTCCAGCAACATGCGAATTTGTGGATATTGCAGGCCTTGTAAAGAATGCGTCCCAGGGAGAGGGTTTGGGCAACCGCTTCCTTGCCAATATTCGCGAAACAAGCATTGTAGCCCACGTGCTTCGCTGTTTTGTAGATGACACAGTTTCGCATGTCAGTAGCACTCTCGATCCAGAGGATGATATACTTACTATACAAACAGAGCTTACAATAGCAGATTTAGAAAGCATTGCACGACAGAAAGAGCGTATCCTAAAAGAGAAGAAAGTGAAAAACCCAGACCTGCAGAAAAAAGTAGCGATTATGGAGCCTCTGCTAGAAAAAATTGAGGAAGCATTAAATAAGAACCAAGCCTTGCACACGTTGGAGTTAAGCACAGACGAGGAAGTGTACTACACACAACTACAGCTGCTAAGGGCCAAACCTACACTCTACGTATGCAATGTGTCGGAGCAAGACGTGCACGAGGGAAATGCCTACGTAGAAAAAGTAAGAGCCGTAGCAGAAAGCGAGCAAAGCACAACTATACAGGTCTGTGCGAAGTATGAATCCGAGCTCGCTTCACTTCCTCCCCATGAGCGAAAGGAATTCCTTGAAAATACAGGTATAGAGCACTCTAGCCTTTCTTTACTAGTAGAATCAGCATATGCCCTTATGGGGCTACGAACATTCTTTACAGCTGGGGAAAAAGAAGTACATGCATGGACGTTTAAGGAGGGAACGAAGGCTCCAGAAGCTGCAGGAATTATCCACAGCGACTTTCAACGTGGCTTTATTAGAGCAGAGGTATTCTCGTACGAGGACATCATAGCCCATGGTTCCGAACACAACATTCGAAGCGCAGGCAAAGTAAGAACTGAAGGAAAAAACTACCTCGTGCAGGATGGAGATATAGTACACTTTCGGTTCAATGTATAATTATTTCTAAATGAATAATGCTATATAATGAAACATACGTATGAAATATGTAATTCTTGGTGCTGGGCAAGTCGGTTTTCAAGTTGCTCAATTTTTATCACAAGAAGGTCATATAGTAACTATCTTAGATAAAGATAAAAAGCGTATCCTAAAACTTCAAAACAGACTAGACTGCAAAATTATGATTGAGGATGGTCAGCGAAAAAAAACCTTACAAAATGCAAAAATCGAAGAGGCGGATTATTTTATTGCGACAACCAATTCAGACGAGGCTAACCTTATTAGCTGCAGTCTTGTACGCGAACTAGCACCAAGGGTTGTATGTATTGCTAGACTCCGCAATAGTAAGTACTTAGAATTTATACAATCCATTAAATCGAGTTTTAACATTACAGAAGTTGTACAACCCGAAAGAGAAATAGCGATTTCCATAGTACGAAGCATTGAATACGGAAGAGGTGTAAGCGACGCCTTCTCTTTTATCGATTTTAATCATATACTTATTCGTTCCTACACTATTCCCCAAAACTCCCCGCTTATAGAAAAAAGACTCAGTGAACTTGCGGATACCATCGAACTTCCTGCAGAAATAGCAGATAACTACCTCGTTGCTATGATACAGAGGCACGATCAAACATTTCTGCCCACTGGAGAATATGTACTACAAGAAGGCGATGAGTTGTATATTATAGGGAATCTTACTGACCTTGATAGAATATTTGAAAACCTAGGATCCAACTCTAAAGAGTCTCGTAGTATTCGAAAAATTATGATTATAGGTGGAGGTGTTATTACATCTCAAATTCTCGACATATTTAGTTCTCGTACATATAGTTTTACTCGACTCATAGGAAAAAGCCGCATACCTTCACGCAATTTTGTTGTTGTAGAGAGCAACGAGAAGATCTGCGAAGATTTGTCAGAGCAATTTCCGGATGTAACTGTATTGAATGCTGATGTTACAGAAGATCATACCTTAGAAGATATAGAGATTTCATCTGCAGATCTTGTAATAGCCGCCACAGAGTCGCAAGAACTCAATATAGTAGTGGCTGCACACAGCCATAATCTAGGGGTAAAACAGACCCACGCTGTAGTAAAAACCTCTGCATACTCTGATATTGCAAAAGAGCTGGGTATTGGTGTTTCATTTAGTTTGCGTGGTGCTGTGGCGAGCTCTATTATTAGTTATCTACGTGGAAAAAGCATGATACTAAACACAGCGTATGGAGAAATGAGCATGTTTACACACAAGGTAAGCACCGGAAGCTACGCCTATGGGAAGCAGATTAGAGATTTAGCAATCCCTAAAAACAGCCTTATTGTATGTGTGAATAGAAATGACCGTTCTTTTATTGCCCGAGGGAATATAGAAATACAAGAACAAGACCAGCTGCTTATTATGTGCCAAGAAAATTCATGGGAAAAGGTAAACGCTTTATTTAACACAACAAAGCGGTAGCGATATGAATAGCAAGCTCACGTTACGAATTTTAGGAGCTATAATTGTACTGTATACTTTTATACTGCTGCTTCCTGCTGTGGTCTGCATAATCTACGATGAAATACTCTACCTTCCCTATTTTCTTGTTCCTAGCCTTATCCTTTTTCTTATTGGAATAAGCATACTCATAGCCACAAAGAACACAAAGGCTATTTCCAGCATACGACAATCACTTTTTCTTGTAGGTTTTAGCTGGATTATTGTATCTCTTTTAGGAACAATTCCTTTTATATTTTCAAACACTATACCAGACTTTAGCTCTGCTCTTTTTGAGACTGTCTCTGGCTTTACCACCACAGGTGCATCCATCTTAGAAAATATTGAGATTTTACCGAAATCCATGCTTTTTTGGCGTTCTCTTACACATTGGCTTGGGGGCATGGGTATAGTAGTGCTTACGGTGGCTCTCTTCCCTCTTATTGGAATAGGGGGGAACACCTTGATGGCAGCCGAGTCTCCAGGGCCAGAGTTAAACAGAATAACCCCAAAGATAAGTACTATGGCAAAGATATTCTGGCTGCTCTACACAGGGCTTACCTTGCTGGAAATACTTCTGCTATATGTTGCAGGAATGGATGTGTTTGATGCCATTACCCATGCTTTTGCAACCATGGCAACTGGGGGCTTTTCGACAAAGAACGCCAGTATAGCAGCGTTTCCCTCTCCGCTTATTCAATGGATTATTACTGTATTTATGTTTCTTGCAGGGACAAATTTCGCCCTCTTCTTTGCATTTATCACCAGGGATTTTATGCAAATAGTACACGACACTGAGTTTCGCTGGTATGCAGGTATTACATGTATTGTAGCGCTGCTTATCGCTCTTAATCTTCTACTTGCACAAAACACAGACGCTTCACAGGCCTTGCTTGATTCAAGCTTTCAAACCGTATCCATACTTACAAGCACAGGTTTTTCCTCACTTGATTTTGAGCAGTGGCCATTTTTTGCACAGTCACTGTTGTTTTTTCTTATGTTTATAGGTGCATCTGCAGGATCAACTGGGGGTGGGATTAAGGTTGTGCGTATTATAACCGCATTAAAGGCCCTGCTTAAAGAGCTTACACATTTTTTTATTCCCCTCAAGATAGGTTCAATAAAAATTAACAGAAGACACATTGAAAACTACCAGATAAGAGCTGTGCTTATCTTTATTGTGAGCTATGGTATGCTTGTGCTTCTTACTACTATTGTGGTGTCCCTGCAAGGCATCGATGTACTCTCCTCGCTCTCCACGGCACTTGCCACATTAGGTAATATAGGACCGGGTTTTAATGCTATAGGTCCCAGCGAAAACTATGCTTTCTTTTCTGCTCCTATTAAGTTGTTTCTCTGTATTATTATGATCGTGGGGAGATTAGAGCTCTTTACTGTGCTTATTCTTTTTAATCCAAAATTCTGGAAATAATACCATAGAAATAATACCATAATTATTTATGAAATATAATAAAAGTCTTCAAATAATTATAAATAAGCTATAAAAACACTTGACAATTTTGTTTTTTGACATATTCTACATATTCTATAGTAGATAGACAAAGGAAGGTGCAGTAGTACCATTTTACAAAGGAATTTTTATTAGCGGTAAGCATCACCCGATAAATCACCCGATAAGATGGTCTAACCAATGAGTTTTACATATAGAGGAGGCCCATAGGGCACCTCTTGAATTATGGAGGCATTACATGCAAAACCAAAATGCTAATACATTGCTAACATGCTTCGTTTCATTTATGGCTCTACTATAGGTTAGGTTCTATAAGCACGCGTCTGCAATTCTCTTCTGTGCTATTTCAAAATACCCTGCATCTATCTCACAGCCGAGGTACATTCTTCCTAGTTGTTTTGCTGAAACCATGGTGCTCCCACTGCCCATAAATGGGTCTAGTACGCAATCGCCTGTATTGGAAAATATGTGTATAATTCTATGCATAAGCATTAATGGCTTTTGCGTAGGATGGGCAACTCTTTCGGAGGACCACGGTACGATGGGTGCTATATCTGTCCATACATTTGATAGAGCTCTGTATTCATTCCCGTTTTTTCTGCCTATGCTTCCCTTTGTTACTTTTTTTATATGAGACGATGTTTTATTATACGTGTAGTCTTTTTCTTCCTTTACATACCATAGGATGTCTTCTCTTGTTGATACAAAATTAGTTCTTGCTCCGCGCCCTTTTATTCTATCGTATATAATCCAGTTCTTTAGCAGAAAGATGCTGTTAAATACATGTATGGTATGTATTACATTGCTCCATCCCTGGAATATAATTATATTTCCTGTCTTTTTC